CCATCTATTTTATATTTTTTTAAATTAGAAATTTCTATGGTTTATATAGGAATGTGCAGTTGAAAGTGTAAATAACGAAAACATTGAAATAACATTTACAGTTTCATCCGCAAGCAGCAATTCCGCAACTTAGTTGAACAGCTACATTTTTTTGTATCCTTATTGTTTACATTCGTTACGAAGAAGAAACGCTTTCAGTTTTATGATTTTTAATATTCGTCACTGGCCATTATAAAAAATATCACATAAAATCTCGAGGGTAAAAGCTGATATTATATATTATATACAATATAATATTATACACATTTTATTAAAGAGTTATCTTTCATTTACGACCAGTATACTTCTTTGATATTGTTAATTTGAGATTAGCATTAAAGTTGCTTGATAATTATAATTTAGTTTAATTAGGATTTAAATAAATAACTCGGTTGTCTAATCCTCAAACGGTCTTAATAGAAAAATAAGTTGTTGTTGCTTTTATGAATCTTGACATTTGGCTGTATTAAACTATACTTATTTATCTCTTTTAAAATATTCCATATCGTTTGCGCAAAATATATTAAGCTTAACTAATATGGTAGGTAACTTAACTAATGAGTTATCGTGTTACAATGTAAAGCGAATAAAGTTTATAAATTAAAAATGTCCACATAATTACATATTTGATTTGAATTCATTTAACTGAGTTGCGTTGCATGAAGAATGTATGCGGGCTGATACTGAATACTCTCGAAATTATTTATTTTTTATTTTTCCGACTCTTCGTGATGTTTTTAATGCCAAATACACAGTAAATCAGCACTTAAAATCGAAATTAACAATATTTCTTGTACCTGAGGGGAACAGGATGGCTTTATTCGCATATTTTAAAGTTTTGAGTCGATCGCTTGTCCTGTGTGTTACCACGATTTTTCTCGCTTCAGATAAAATTAAACATTATTCACTCTAACAAAAGTACGGACCGCGTTCTCTGCATTATTTAAAATGATTGCTATAAAAACTGAAATAAGAAAAGTAAAGTGATTTCAAAACGGTTCTGGACCAAAAATAAATGCAAATAAGTTTACTTTTAAGATACGGAAACTATTGACTATTTATATTTAAACTAATACTTTTAAACATTTGGCTGCCATGTCGATCACTTTTCATGGAGTATTGTATTTAAAACGTGACCTACGGTAGTTAAGTGTTAATACAGCCTATTGGAGTACACTGTTCAACATAAGTCTCCCGCATATATTGCGTCATAGCCCCCCCCCCCCTATGATGCAATATTATATTGTATTTATTATTTTTTTATTATTTTGCATAATTTCCACGCATGGAAAGCAGGTTGACACCGATGCTTGAAATGGTCACGTGGTGCTGTCATGAGTCATTGTCATGAATTAGTAAAATTAGTTTTACTATATACCTAAAATGAAATGAAACTGATTTTACGGAACTAATTGGGTTTATTTTAACATATTTCATTTAATTTATATTTTTAATTCCCGACGTTTCGGGTGCACAGCAGACATAGTTACTGGATGGACTGAAGTGTTTGAGGTCCCGATTTCATAGTTAGTAAGGCTAACCTTTAGCTTTATTATTTTAAATTTTGGTCCAATATACGCTCTTTCTGCGTAGAAGATTGCAGTGGTATGATTGGAACAGAAAATAATTTATAAGGACGTATTTGTTTATGCAATACTTATGTATTACACATATACAATACATAAGATAACGGTTGTTTACTACTGTGGTTACACTTACCACCTACTACACTCATCAAGTACTTAGCTAATACGTTGTAAGTGTAAGTTCTCCCCATATATTAGTATAGAGCAATGTTCTTAAGACCTATATTCATCGGCTCTTGTTTTTTATTGTAAATTTTTTTAATACGTTTCTTTTATATAAAACAGGGGGCAAACGAACATGCAGCTCACCTGATGGTAAGTGACTACAGCCACCCATGAACAACTGCAACACCAGGAGATTGCAGGTGCGTTGCCAGACTTTTAGAAAGTAGTTAGCCCATTTATTGTTCCCTAAGTCGTATCGGTTGGAAAAATCACCGGTGGTAAACAATTCCAAAGAGGGGCTCTACGAGGAAAGCAACTCCTAGTGAAACGTACAGTGGTGGATCGCGAAGCGTCCAGATGTGTGTATTGCAAAATGTTGTCGTGACGTGCGTTCGTGAAATTTGGTTACTGGAATTAATCCAAACAATTCCTCAGATTTTATCTTTAGATTATTTTTGTAGAAATGCTACGTAATGCCGTCCCACGATAGCAAAGACGTGTTATAACGCAATCAAACAAACTAAATAATCCGGCCCATATTAGCATGGCCACTGGAACATTCTCACATACATGTGGAGCTCTATCCGTACCAGCCATCCTCTGGCAAGACTTACCGGAACACAAGGAAGACATTTCTAATATTCTTTAACCTCACCTGCACAACAGATAAATAATAATATATTTTCACGAATTCTTTTTGATAATTTCCCTTAAAATAATGGAAGAAATAGATTATTGTTGTTCATAAAACGTAATATGAAAAAACGAATTTTCAGAAAATCTTGCATTATGTGAACTTCTACAGTCCTTTAATCCATTTAAATTGGCGTAAATCCATTCCTGTTGACAATTTTATCGAGAGGTTTTCGATAAATTTCGACGGGGGAAAGCTAAATAAATCCACAGAGGACTTAAGATAAGGTAATGGCTTCACTGCCATAGCCATAATGCAATCGGAAACTAAGTGAACTATGCTAAGTACACAATTTTGTTAAGAATTTATTATATATATTAATTAGAAGAATATGCGGCAAAAATATCAACACTTTTGTGTTGCAGCCTTCAGTGTCCCGCTGTGTTCATGAGGTTGTGGAAGCCCGTCCTTCCCCGGTCGAGTCGGCACATTCGTGCACATTTTTAAAGCTGAAGCGGTCCGTAGGGCCCCGAACTGGAAAAGTCCGGGACTCGACGGGCTGCATCAGTACTGGCTGAAGGGGTTCGTGGTGTGTCACACTGTGCTTGCCCGACAGTTTCTAGAGGCTCTCAACTAGAAGTCGCTCCCGAGCCAATTCACTACTGGGATCACCCGTTTGGTTCCTAAAGACCAAGGTACCACAGACCCGAGCAAATACCGCTCCATCCCGTGTCTACCGACCATATACAAGACACTAATATCCATTTTGAGCGCGAGAATCACTCGTCACCTGGACTCAAATCAGGTGATGTCGCCGTCGGAACTTCGCCGACGCCTGGATAGACTACAGAAAGGCATTCGACTCGGTGCCCCATACATGGCTAAAGAGAGTCCTCGAGCTGTACAAGATAGACTGTACAGTTAGAGACTTCCTCGCGCAGTGTTTGGGACAGTGGAGTATGATCCTTTGTCATCTGGGCGAGCGGATGATGGCTGCAGAGAATCACATAAAGATAAGAAGGGATATCTTCCACGGCGATTGTCTGAGTCCAATCTGGTTCTACCTCTCTCTGAACCCTCTCAGTACCTTACTGGAGGGGTCCGGGAGAGGATTTTAGCAATTCCATTGGAATGGAACTGGGGACGGATATGTGTGTGGTCCTCCATGTTGAAAGGGGAAGGGTTGCTAACTCTGAGGGCATAGACTTATCTATGCCCGTCAACTTAAGAACCCTTTCCGAGGCTGAAACATACCGATACCTGGGTATGTCACAGAACGTCGGTATCGATGAGGCTGGTATGAAACAGTCAGTTTGCGATGTTTTGTGCACGCTTGACCAAAGTGCTTAACAGCCTTTTGTCCGGTGTGAATAAGGCACACGCATATAACGGCTGGGTCATGCCTGTCCTCATGTATACCTTTGGCATACTCAGGTGGACTCAGACTGAACTTAACGCCCTGGATAGAAAACTTCGCACTACCATGACGTCCCATAGGATGCATCATCCGAGTGGGCGTGGCTTCCTGAGCGCGCTCACCGTGTATAATCGCGAAGTGTGCAGCCTCCGTGATTACTTCCTGGCGAGATCGGATGATCCATTCTATAAGGACGTTATTTCTTGTGATAAAGGACTTACCCTCTATCCTTAGCCAACGAGCAATGGCAAGACCCGGCAGTGCAGAGCATTTCCGACCGGGAGACCGTATGGAAGGGGAAGGAGCTCCACGGGAGGTTCTACAAGGCTCTACATGAGCCTTTCGTAGACAAAGTAGCCTCCTTACACTGGCTACGCTTTGGTAACCTCTTCGGGGAAACCGAGGGTTTTGTCTGTGCAATACAAGATCAGGTTATTAAGACCAAAAACTATCGGAAATACATCCTAAAGGATGGCACCGTCGACATCTGTCGAGCTTGTCGCCATCCCGGTGAGTCACTTAGGCATGGCATCTCCGGTTGTTCGGCACTTTCTAACTCTGAGTACTTGTACAGACACAACCTAGTAGCCAGAATTCTTCAACAGAAGCTTGCTCTGAAATACGGTCTCGTGGATTGGAAATTGCCATATTACAAGTACTTTCCGGAAGCCGTGCTCGAAAATGATCGCGCCAGGCCCTATTGGTCCCGGGCCATCACCATAGACAGGACTATTCTTGCGAATAAGCCTGATATTGTGCTTATGGACCGGGCACAGTCAAGGATTTACCATTACCTACAACCTCGTGAAAGCCGAAACAGATAAACGAACAAAATATCTGGACCTAGCTCACGAGGTGACCGACATGTGGGGTGGTCTGCCGACCGAAATTATTCCTGTAGTCGTCTCTTCAAATGGGCTAATCCCAGTCAGCCTTTTGGGTCATCTGAGGCGGCTGGGACTGCGTGTCGGACCGCCCGCATCGTCCGCCGGTTTCTTTCCCTTTCCCCCTAACCCTCGGCCGTTTGGTCTCCCCTGCCGAGGGCCTCCATCTAGTTGAGCTTTTATTTATTTATTTATGTATTTTTATATTTATTTAATTTTATTGATATTTATGTATATTTATCTTTTCATTTCCATTTATAATTATATATTTATAGAACCAAACCAGATGCGAAAACTATATTGAAACCCCCAATAATAATAATATATTTGATGGCGCTGAACTCGAACGGCTACGACCTGAGGCTGTTCCCTCATTAAATAAAAATGCTACGGCTGAGGATGTTGCAGAACAACCCACACACGTGGATACCGCCGTGAATTTCCCAGTGGTGGCTGATTCAAATGATGATGGAACATTCGCCCAGGAACTAGATATAGAGCAAATGAGAAGTACATTGGAAGAGGCGATTTTGGAAACGCGCGGTACGCCTCTCGAAAATCGACCGCGACTTCCCCCGCATAGCCCTAATCAAGCGGAATCGGGCTGTCGTGAGGGCTCTGAACCCAATGCTTTGACCTATTTGGAAGCCAGCCGGGACATTTGCGAGACGGACTCAATTGGCTTTGGCGCCGCGCTGGCAGTCTGCCGTACTATAGGCGCCAAGGTTTCCACGGCTGGACGCATTACTGGCCAAAGTAGCGCTATCCCAGCATGGAGAAGAAGAATTGAGGAGCGTATAGCAAAGGCTAGAGTTCTCATCGGCAGACTGATATGCTTTAGATCAGGCAATAACAGGTCAAGAATTGTGCGCACCGTCAGGATGGCGTTTGCTGGGACAAATGTCAATTTGTCCCAGCCAGATATAATATAAAAACTGACGGAGCGCATAGATGATCTGAAGCAGAGAATCACTGCTTGGGGAAAGCGGATTCGGCGACATACCGAGAGGTCGACTCGGTTCAACCAGAATCGTCTCTTCCAGAGTAATCAGAAGAGGCTCTATGAATCATTGGAGCGACCAATGGCAAGTGGAACGGGCCCAGCACCGAATCAGGCTGACACTGTAACATTCTGGCGTGGCCTGTGATCAGAGCCCATAAACCACAGCGAGGGCTCTTGGACGGAAGTTGTGCCGAGTCAGTGTGCGAGTATAACGCCCATGGACCCCGTCATTATAGCGCCGGATGACGTCGCTGAGGCAGTCCGTAGGGCCCGGAACTGGAAAAATCCGGGATTCGACGGGCTGCATCACTACTGGCTGAAGGGGTTTGTGGTGTGTCACACTGTACTCGCCCGATAGTTCCAAGAGGCTCTCAACCAGAAGTCGCTCCCGAACCTCTTCACTACTGGGATCACTCATTTGGTTCCTACAGAACAGGGTACCACAGACCCGAGCAAATACCGCCCCATCACGCGTCTACCAACCATATACAAGACACTGACATCCATTTTTCAGCGCGAGAATTACTCGTCACCTGGACTCAAATCAGGTGATGTCAGGTGATGATACATCCTAAAGGATGGCACCGTCGACATCTGTCGAGCTTGTTGCCATCCCGGTGAGTCACTTAGGCATATCATCTCCGGTTGTTTGGCGCCTTCTAACTCTGAGTACTTGCACAGGCACAACCTGGTAGCCAGAAATCTTCACCAGGAGTTCGCTCTGAAATACGGTCTCGTAGATCGGAAACTGCCGTATTACAAGTACTTGCCGGAAGCCGTGCTCGAAAATGATCGCGCCAGGCCCTACTGGGACCGGGCCATCATCACGGACAGGACTATTCTTGCGAATAAGCCTGATATTGTGCTGTTGGACCGGGCACAGTTAAGGATATTTTTGGTTGACATTACCATTCCGTACCTCCTGAAATCAAACCACTCCCAACCTCGTGAAAGCCGAACAGAAAAACTAACAAATTATCTGGATCTGGCCCACGAGGTGACCGACATGTGGGGTGGTCTGCCGACCGAAATTATTCCTGTAGTCGTCTCTGCAAACGGGCTAATCCCACTCAGCCTCTCTGGTCATATGAAGCGGCTGGGACTACGTGGGGGACCGCTCCAGGCTCACATGTAGAAGACGGTGCTCCTCGATACCGCCCGCATCGTCCGCCGGTTTCTTTCCCTTTCTCCCTAACCCTCGGCCGTTTGGTCTCCCCTGCCAAGGGCCTCCATCTGTCATCCATCATTGTGCTTTTTTTATTTATGTATTTTTATTGCCGTGTAGTGGCGGTTGAGAATATCCACTACCCCATATCTTCCCGTGGATGTAAGAGACGACAGAAGGAGACAGGCAGGAGATGGGCAGCAGCATCTTCCTGATAACAACTGTGATATAATAAAAACTGCGGTTACCAACCCGCTCTCCAAGCGTGGCAACTATGGCAAATATCCCCCCATGAATAACGACGCAAACAGACGGCCCCCAGTCCTGTATTCCTGTGTGTGTATTCCTGGCTACGGTGGCGACCATGGTAACGGCGGGGCAGGGGGTGCGAAGAATCTCCGGTGGAGGTTCGGTTGTCACCTACGACGACTCGACCTGGCAACATATAATGCACGCACCCTGAGGACTGACGAGAAGATACTGGAGCTGGAAGAAGAGGTAGACAAGTTGCGCTGGCATATTATTGGATTATCTGAGGTCCGAAGAGAGGGGGAGGACACGGCAAACTTCGAGTCCAAGGAGGTGTCGGATTTATTGTCCACAAGTCTCTCGTCATCAACGTTGTAAAGATTGGGAGTGTGACGACGAGAGTAGTGTACCTGATACTCAGAATCACCAAACGGTATTCGCTGAAGGTCATACAGGTTTACGCACCAACCACGGCACATCCCGATGAGGAGGTGGAGGAAATGTATGAGGATATTTCCAGAGCCATGCATTCCTCCAAAACCCAATACACGGTGTTGATGGGAGACTTCAACGCAAAACTAGGCACAAGAAAAAGCGGTGAGCTGAAGGTAGGGAAATTTGGAGTAGGGCAACGGAACTGAAGGGGCAAGCAGCTGGCCGACTTTATGGAGAACGACCAGACGCCAACTGTTCAGTGATGTCTCAGTGATCGCAGGGGTGAAAACTGGCAGCGATCACCGAATGGTTAGAGGCACACTGAACCTAAACCTTAAGTTGGAGAGGTCTCATCTAATGAAGTCAACGCTCCGCCCCCCCTCGTGCTCTAATCCAGAATCCCGAAACCTTTCAGCTCGAGTTACGTAACCGCGTTCAGTGCCTAGAAGATTCTATGCGGTGGACGATATGAATGACAAGCTCGTGGAACTGTACATGCGGTTGGAGCTAAGTTCTGGAAGACCCGCCGCAGAAGAACACAAAAAATCTCCGATCACACCCTTAACTTCATGGCTGTTAGACGGGAGATGAGGCTGCAATCGTCAACAGATTTGACGGCATACAGGCAACTGAACAAATAGATCTCCAAATGCATGTGGCGAGACTTACGCAACTTTAATACTGCTCGTATTAAAAAAGCGATCGAGCAGAACCAGGGCTCTAAAGTCTTTGCCAGAGATCTGTCATCTGTCTGGCATATGTGGACTATGAAAGGCCTTTGATTCCGTCGAAATTTGGGCGGTGCTACAGTCCCTTCAGCGGTGCCAAGTTGACTGTCGGTATATAGAAGTGCTGAAGTGTTTGTACAGTAGGGCTACGATGGCTATCCGAGTACAGAACCAGAGTTCAAAACCTATCCAACTGTAGAGAGGTGTAAGAGATGGTGATGTTATATCCCAGAAACTCTTCACCGCCGTGTTGGAAGACGTTTTCAAGCTACTGGACTGGAAAGGATACGGTTTTAACATCAATGGCGAGTACATCACTCAGCTTCGATTTACCGACGATATTATAGTCCTTATGGCAGAATCGCTGGAGGACCTTAGCACTATGCTCAATGACCTCAATGGTGTCTCCCAACGGATGGGTCTTGAGATGAACATGGACAAAACAAAGTTCATGTTTAATGTCCATGTCACACCTATGCCGTTATTTGTTGGGAGCACTATGCTCGAAGTTGTTGATGAGTACGTTTACCTGGGACAAAAAGTCCGACTAGGTAAGTCCAACTTCGACCGAGAGGTCAATCGATGGATTCAACTCGGCTTGGCAGCGTTCGAGAAATTACGACACATCTTCTCGTCAGGTATACCTATATATATATATATATATATATATATATATATATATATATATATATATATATATATATATATAACCTCAATCTCTGAAAACTAAAGTGAACGCAGAGAAACTCCGAGCATAGCCCTCTCCATAGCTCGCTAAGCGACCTTGAGCGTCCTCATACGGCCAGCAGTGAAGGACCACGTCTCAGATCCGTAAGTCATCACTGGCAACACGCACTGTTGTACAATCTAGTTTTTAGAGATTGAGGTATACCTGACGAGAAGATATATCGTAATTTCCCGAACGCTGCCCAGCCGAGTTGAATCCGTCGATTGACCTCTCGGTCGAAGTTGGACTACCCCATATATTTCCGTGGGTGTCGTAAAAGGCGACAGAGGGAAACAGGCAGGAGATGGGCAGCAGCATGTTCCTGATAACAGCAACTGTAAGACAAAAAAACTGCGGTTGGCAACCCGCTTGCCAAGCGTGGCAACTATAGCAATATATCCCCCATTAACAATTACACAGAAATGAGGATATCCGCAGTAAAACCAGAGTGACCGACATAGCCCAACGGATTAGTAAGCTGAAGTGGCAATGGGTCGACCATATAGCTCGAAGAACCGACAACCGATGGGGAAGAAAGGTGCTCGAGTGGCAGCCTCGTACCGGTAGGCGTAGTGTAGGGCGACCCCCCACTAGATGGAGTGACGACCTGGTAAGACAAGCAGGAAGTCGATGGATGCAGGTGGCTCAGGACCGTGCTTTGTGGCGTTACTTGGGGGAGGCCTATACTCAGCAGTGGACTTGTGAAGGGCTGTAATAATGATGATGATAATGTATTTTTATATTTATTTAATTTTATTGATATTTATGTATATTTATCTTTTCATTTCCATTTATAATTATATATTTATAGAACCCAACCAGATGAGAAAACTATATTGAAACTCCCCAATAATAATAATAATAAATATTTATTTCAAAAGATTATATTATATTAGTGAACGTAGCGCCCTTTTAAGCTAATAAGATAATGCATTATTTTAACTGATTTTACTGTGCACGCACAGACGCGCACATTCGTAAGGGTCGATCGGTAGACAGAAACGTTTTTGCCCATAAATCACATTCAATTTGGGCTAATTTCAAATGAAAGCAGAAACCTTATTTACTCGTATATTTTAAAACTGAAATAACGGTATATCATTATTTACCTATTTAAACTTAAGTTTAAAATTTTGTTACTTTTCGACAAATAACCAAATACAGGGTTATTTTTCAAATCTGATACTTAATCAGCCAGCAATCATTAATTAACCTTTGAATAAATTAAAATAGAATATTGAAATAATTGAACTTTTTAATTTTAAAAATTATCGGACGTATACGTATTTTTTTTTTGATGTAGAAGAGAAGAGGGTGCAAACGAGCATGCGGCTCACTTTAACACCATGTGGGTCGTCGGCCTTTTAAAATGGAATGAGTTCTTTTCTTGAAGGTCCCTAAGTCGTATCGGTCCGGAAAAGTCACCGGTGGTAAACGATTCCACAGAGAGGTTGTAAGAGGACGAAAACTCCAAGTAAACCGCACAGTAGTGGATCGTCAAGCATCCAGATGGTGGTTATGGTATCGGGAGTTTTGACGCGATGAGCTTTCATGAAATTTGGCGGCTGGAACAAATCCAAACAATTCATCAGAACACTCCCCATGGTAGATACGATAGAAAATGC